GAGGATGTAGATGAGCAAGTACGACGCGACATGCGTGAGGCGGGGGTTGGTTATAAGGAGGGGCAACCTTCTAGGCGGCGCTGTAGAACTTGTGGAAAAGCTGGTCATAACGCGCGAACTTGTCAAGAAGTTATAGATATATCTAGTTCGTCAGATATAGAGAGCAATAATTAATTTAATATATTGTGGTTGATTTATTTAGGTGTAAAGTTCTGTGCCAAGAAAAAGTGATCGACTCGGTGATATGATCGACTCGCTGATAAACCACGTTACGCCAATTGATAGACCTATATTCTACAACTACAACCTGCTAACCTCTGAGCAGTTATATTTATCTATCCAAAAACTCCAGACTTATTAGTTTAATCCCACTCTATGGAATTCAATGCCAATACATTACGCGAATCACAAGTCGCAAACGTCATCACAAGATTCTTGGTGGTATAACTTTTGATTTTTTTTCTTCGTCGAGCATTAAATATCAGAGCAACGAGCCTTTTTGGAAATCCCGGATCACTTCATCAATGATCACAAGCCTGCTCACAAGCCAACCTATCGCCAAAACCAATTTCAATCTACAAGTTGACGGCAGTTCGGAACTTCTCACCAGCATAGATGGCCTTGTCACCAAGCTCCTCCTCTATTCTCAAGATTTGGTTCAACTTGGCCAAACGCTCAGATCGGGCTGGGGCACCAGTCTTGATTTGTCCAGCTCGGATACCGACGACAATATCAGCAATGGTAACATCCTCCGTCTCACCAGATCGGTGAGAAACCATGACACCCCATCCAGCGGCGTAAGAGTCCTTGGCAGCCTGGATAGACTCAGTGAGGGTACCGATTTGGTTGACCTTGAGCAAGAGAGAGTTGCAAGACTTGAGCTCAATAGCCTTCTTGATACGGATAGGGTTGGTGACAGTCAAGTCATCACCGACAATTTGGAAGTCGGAGGTCTTGTAGAAGTAGCTCCATGCCTCCCAGTCATCCTCGGCGAATGGATCCTCGATGCTGACAATTGGATATTTCTTGGCGAGGGACTGGTATTGAGCAGCAAGCTCCTCATAGGTGAGCCACTTGGTTGGGTCACTGTCTGGGTTCTTGAAGTCCAAGTCGTACTTCTTGACGTCCTCCTTGTAGAACTCGCTTGAGGCGACATCCATAGCAATGTGGACCTTTCCAGTGTAACCAGCCTGCTCGATGGCGTCGGTGATAAGCTCAAGAGCCTCCTCAGCAGTCTGAATATCTGGTGCAACACCACCCTCGTCACCGACGTTACCAGCGGATTGTCCGTACTTCTTCTTGGCAAGACCCTTCAAGATTTGGTAGACCTCAGCACCTTGACGGAGAGCCTCGGTGAAGGATGGGGCGGATCTAGACGTCGTTAGAATTTCCTATTTGGCTCTCAGTCAGAAAAACCTACGATGGAACGATCATGAACTCTTGGAATGCCAAGCGTCCACCAGCGTGGGATCTATGTTATGTCAGTTTGGTGATCGCAATATATTTTATTGTGTTTAAATATATTGCGTTTGACATACCCTCCGTTGAGAACGTTCATGAAAGGAACTGGAAGAACATATGGCTTCTTGGTACCGGCAAGGTCGGAAACGTGGGCGTAAAGAGGGATTTGCTACGAAAGTCAGTATCAGTACCTGAACATCGTCATATCCATATCAGAATCTGTTACCTTCTCAGCAGCACCGGCCTTGGCAACAGCGAGAGAGACACCAAGAATGGCATTGGCACCAAACTTTCCCTTGTTGGCAGTTCCGTCGAGCTTGATCAAGAATTCATCGATCTTCGATTGCTCCTTGACATCCAGGTTCTCCTTGATGAGAGCTGGGCCAATGATGTCGTTGACGTTGGCAACAGCCTTTGTGACACCCTTTCCACCCCACTTGGCCTTGTCTCCGTCACGGAGCTCAACAGCCTCGTGTTGACCTGTATGGCATCTCAAATCAGCTTCGTCTCGGGGATTGTGGAATGGGTAGGGACGAACCGGTGGAAGCTCCGGAAGGAACGATGGCACGATGAAGACCAGTCTCGGTGACAACGTCGACCTCGACGGTTGGGTTTCCCCGAGAGTCGTAGACCGAACGAGCGTGGATCTTGGTGATGGCCATGATGTACGATTTCTGGGGAGGAGGAATTGTTAGTTATTGACAATAAATTCTAGGCAGCAGAGTGGAATGGATGAGGATGGAGGGATACCTTATGTAGTTCTGGTGGTAAAAAGATTGTCAGTTGATGTGAGGTGGCAGAAGCTTGGGAGCTGTCGGGATCCAGCAGAAGAAAAAATAAGGTGGGGTGTGAGGGATATTGTAGGGCAACGAGACCGGAGCAGGCGAAAGCGAGGGGGAGGGGGGGATTGCGGTGGCTTATCAAGGGAAGGGAATTGGAGGTGATGGAGATGGTGTTGAGTCAATTGGTCAAGAAGAGGCTTTCAGAAAGAAGTACGTACCTGGGATTCGTGGCGTGAGAGGGGCTCAGGTTCAGTTGGAGGAAATAAGTGGTTGCTGGTGTTGGGAGAGGCGAAGGAGGGGTGTTTGCTGGGTGAGGGGTGATGGTGACCTTGAGGGTTTGGAGAGGTCTTGGCAGGTGGTGGGATGTGTTGTGATCCCTGCCTGTTGCCCTGCTGCCCTGCAAGAATTGGAAGCGCCGGATTGAGCAGCATCTGAGCTTCACTGCGATTGCTCAACCACTGTTGTCACGGCTCCTCTGAAGCCTCTACATGGGCAAACTCCGCATCCAATGGGTTCGATTGGATGAACAGTGAATGAGCCCGAGTTTCTAATCTGAGAAGTCTTTGTGAACATATACCCCTTACCAAACTCATCTTTTGAGTATCATTTCGTTCCACTGGCTTCAACAAGCTGTCCAGTCGTTGGGGTCTCTGACTCTTCCAATCCACAAGTGATAGGGTCACAGCTACACTCTAAATGCCTTCAAAGTTCCGGTGCTACCTTCTTTTCAGACCCTCAGAGTTCCTTAGAACCTCTGGACTTGCATTTTTAGTTTTTTGTATCTGAAAGCAATTGCAGCGACGAATTCCTGGTTGCAGCCTGCTCTTCGGGGAAAAACAACGTGATGAAACAGATCCATCTTTCGGATAAGAAAGCTCTTTAGACCGATGCAGCCAAGTCTGTCAACTTTGCTTGGAATTTAGGTTGAAACTTCTTTTGACTATATGAAAAACTCCTAGCCAAGAAATATATAAGAAGTGGATAGCTTCGATAAGGCTTTGCTGGGCGAGTAATTTGGGTAGATCTCGTCCGAGCTCGTCCTACCAAATCGACATCAAATAGTTCCACGTGTTTTTTAATCTGCAAATCTAGGGAATCACAGATGTTCTACAAGTCATCTATGGCATATGCATAGACATATCGATAGAAAATACACTTTTTCAAATCCTAATTTGATCTGTATTTATGTCAACATATTAGAATAATTGAAACAGTCCCCGAACATCTCTAAGGACCACTTTATCAGAAGCATTACTTCTAATAGCTTGTTGAAATTGTTAGAAAGGAGCAATGGGAGAAAGATTGATTACACTTCTTCTATATTGTGGACTTACTGTTGGTGCTTTTCTGTAAAATTTACACAGCGAGGTCATACTGGTTGTGACATGAATGGATTTCCTGAGCTACAGTACCAGAACTGCTAAGCATCGCTGTGACACAGATTTGGAATGGACAGGCCCAGAGATTCACAGAGCTCGACACAGCTGACCATTTATATTATATTGTGGTGTGGTTGGCGGTGAATCTGAAGCGAGAATTAAGTATGAGGGAGCCATGTTCAACCTCAGGCATATAAGGCATCACTACCTAAGCTGCGCTGCGAGGCAACGATAGCTTCGCGTTCTCCCAATCCAAGTGTCGTGCCCTTAACACCATATTTCCCCAACCTCACAACACCAACTTAATTCATCTAAACCGACTTTGGACCACCTCCGATACATACGCCCTTGATATCCATACACATACAATCCAAAACCATGTCTGAAGAAGAGCGATCCCATGCGCTCCAGTCCTTCAAGACCAAGCTGTTGGAATCAAGGGAATGGGAGGCAAAGCTGAAGGCATTACGGCAGGATATCAAAGGGCTGCAGAAGGATTTCGATCACACAGAGGAGAATATCAAAGCACTTCAAAGTGTTGGACAAATCATTGGGGAGGTTCTGAAGCAACTCGATGATGAGAGATGTAATAAACTCTCCTACAGCGACCTGGGATCTATCAATGCTAATATTGTACTTTTTAGTTATCGTCAAAGCCTCTTCCGGTCCTCGATATGTTGTTGGTTGCAGATCAAAAGTAGACAAGGCTGCGATGAAGCAAGGAACCAGAGTCGCTCTCGATATGACCACCCTCACGATAATGCGAATGTTACCTCGAGAAGTTGATCCGCTAGTTTACAACATGTCACTGGAGGATCCCGGTCAGGTTAGCTTTGGTGGTATTGGTGGATTGAATGAGCAGATTAGAGAATTGAGAGAGGTAATCGAATTGCCATTGAAGAACCCGGAATTATTCTTGAGAGTTGGTATCAAGCCGCCAAAGGGTGTCTTACTATACGGACCACCAGGAACAGGAAAGACCTTACTGGCAAGAGCTGTTGCAAGCAGTCTGGAGACAAACTTCCTCAAAGGTGATTAATGTGCCAATGTGTTTCTGAATGTGCTAATTAAATACAGTGGTATCATCTGCCATCGTCGACAAATATATCGGAGAGTCGGCGCGTTTGATCAGAGAAATGTTTGGGTATGCCAAAGAACACGAACCTTGCATCATTTTTATGGACGAAATCGATGCCATTGGAGGGCGAAGATTTTCGGAAGGTACTTCGGCAGATCGTGAAATCCAGCGGACATTGATGGAACTTCTTAACCAGTTGGACGGATTCGATTATCTGGGAAAAACCAAGATCATTATGGCAACGAACCGACCTGATACCTTAGATCCTGCACTACTCCGTGCAGGGCGTCTTGATCGAAAGATTGAGATTCCTCTTCCCAACGAGGTTGGCCGTCTGGAAATTATGAAGATTCATGCTGCAGGCGTTGTCACTGAGGGCGATGTCGACTTCGAGAGTGTGGTCAAGATGAGTGATGGACTTAATGGAGCAGATTTGCGAAATGTCGTCACTGAAGCGTAAGTCACCTATTTCCACTTGTCTAGTTTCTATGCTAATTTAGCTGTAGTGGTCTGTTCGCTATCAAGGACTACCGAGATGCGGTAAACCAAGATGATTATAATAAGGCTGTTCGGAAGGTGACGGAATCGAAGAAGTTGGAGGGCAAGCTCGAGTACCAAAAGCTTTAGGTAGAAGAGGATTGTAATGTTTCTTACGTTGGCGCCATGGCATACGGTAGAGCTCAAGGCAGGCCAAAATTCATTGTAAAATACCCTCTGGAATACACAGAGCCTTTCCCTTTGCACATACTTGCAATATCTAGCTGTGAATGTTTGACGAGACTCTTCGGTCTTCATACCCAAACGTTTTGCCCCTTGGAGCTTTATTAACATAAGAGGCATCTTATTTTGAAGCTTGTTGAGAACCATAGTTTCTATTGATGATATACGCCATAAAATGCCATGACCCCTTTTGGCTGGAATTAATGAACCACAACTGTAACTATTTCCTAGGAAAAGATGGGCAGCTTGGCAATAATTGGGAGTTTTCGGCCCTTGGGTGCATTAGATGTCACAACGAATGCGGTGAAAAAGCCACTTCAAGATTCCCAAGGGACCTAGGTGAGCGGGGATTGTATCTCTCTGGATTAGAGACGCCGTACTGAGTGCATATTTTGGAACAAAAACTGAATCCAATGTTCATTGAGTCTGGGGAAAGCTTTGGTAGTGGCGCGGCTTTGACTGAACACCTGTCTTGGCACTCGGTCCCGTCCCCTGGGGAACCGCGAGAAGGCTAGCTGCATTAGGCCTGCACAAAAGTAAACACCAAGGACCAACCCAAAGTTTTACAAGCCTAATTGCAAACCACACCACACCACAAACTGTGCATACGCACCACACAAGAAAATCATCTTTCTTCATATACTCCGCACACAGATGATAATTCCACCTCAATATGGATCCCAACTACAAATTTCCTGGCTCGCCCGGCACGCCACTATTCCAGGTCTCGCCTGAGCGCGCCAACCGTCAGCAAGAGAACGAGTCGCCTTCCGCGAGTGTGTACCGCGAAAGCAAGATGCATTCTAGGGAAAGTTCGGTGCATGAGAAGGTCGCTGCCTTCAATACGCTGGCTTTTCAGGGGAAGCAGTTGGAGCGCAAGGCTAATGATGCTGCTCTCAAACGGGCCATGTTGGGTCGAGAGGAGGCAGAGAGTGAGATGCGTCGATACAAAGAAGATGTCCGAGCCTTGAGGAGACAGGTTGAAGAAGGGAAGCTTGATAGGATCAAAGTCAGCGAAAGACTGGCTACTGTGATGGTGCGCTACTTTACTTGCGAGAATATTGCGATGATTGCTAATCATTCCACAGGAACATTATCATCGAGCGAAGGAAACGAACGAACATACACGAGCGACTTATGAGAAAGAGTTGAGAAAGTCAAGAAAGGATGCACTCAAAGCACAGTCTATCAACATCAAGCTACAAGAGGAACTGAAAGCAGCGCGAAATTCTTTACGAATGGTCGAATCGGCCCTCGAGCGTGAGAAGGACCGAAGTGTGCAGAGAGAACAAGAAGCTTTTGCTGCTAGATATCAACTTGTTGGTGTGCAGGAGGAAGTTACCCATCTACAAGAACAGATCAAAGTGGTTGAGCAGGAACGAGATGCGCTTAGAACCATTGCTCAGAATGAAGAAGTTGCAAGAATTGCGGCTGAAGGGAGAATGCCATTACCTAAGGCGCCAGAGGATGATGAGTTCGGTTCGCCTAAAAAGGCAAGAAAGTCCCTGGATCCAGTTACAGTCATTTCATCGGCCGTGAGTGAGCAGGAGTTGGACGAGATGCGCATGAAATGGGAAGAAGAACAATGGCGGGCCAACCGAGCTCACGATCGAATCGAGTTCCTGGAACTTGAGTGCCGTATGAGCTGGTGCCAATCCACAACCAAACCTTCTGAGGAAAAAACATCTCCAGCGAAGCCTTCCAGCAACGATCTGAAATCACCGAGAACTCGACCAAATACCGTTTACGTTCCAGAGGAAGGTGTATTCCGCAGAAGATCACCTTCTCCCTCTCCCGAACTGTTGTCTACATCAGAAGTGAAGACAACTCCAGTCTCTGATCATCCAGAGTTACAGAAGTCAATGCCAGTTCTGGAACCACCTACTCCTGAACATTCTCAACATATGCATTACTCTCGAACACCTTCATGCGAACCGCCAGCAACCGCCATGATATCAGAAGTGAACCCTCGTACATCATTACTATCTCTATTTGATGCACCATATACTCCAAGCGTATTGGAAATCAGTATCCCTACCATTTCCGATCAAAATCACAACATTCGTATCGTGGAAGAGGAAAAGGAGCAGGCAATCGAGGAAGTTATCGAAAAGAAAGCGGAAGAAACAAACGAACAGGCCACCCCTGACGCAGTGGAAGAAACATTTTACGAAACAGCCGAAGAGACACTGGAAGAGGCCATCGTCAAGGAGGCAGCCGGAGAGGATGCAGGCGAAGAAACCACCAATACCACCGTCATCAAAACCTTCCACACCATTTCAACAACAACCCGTATCCCACTCGCGGGCACACCCGACCTCACACCACTCCCTGTGAACCCCGCCCATCAAGATCTCACTCCAACCATGTCCCGCGAAGAAGCCCTCGCCCAAATCCGCGAACGAAGAGGGAGAGCAAGAAGTCTAGCTCAGAATATATTGACGCCAAAGAAAAAGATGGTTGAGGGAATCGAGAGAAGGGATATTAGTGCACCTGCCGTCCGATCAGTTCCTAGATCGAGAAGCCAGGCTAGACCTTTGACGACGTAACACTCAATCAAATCTTTCAACCTGGCTCCTTCACAATGACGAATTTACGGCTCTCCTTCTCCCTTTTCTCGCCCTACATTAATTGATATACGGATTGGGCTGTTTTTTTTTCTCGCGAGAGACAGGCGTTTGCTTACTAAATTTTGGGTGGGCGGCCTTCTTTATGATGGATTGGAGCAATATACAGCCTGCTTGCATTGTATACAGTAGCATAGCACCTTGGAGTTTACTTGTCCCTTTTTTTCTCATGTTTCCCCCCTCTGAGCGTTTTTGGAGTTTGGGAGGGGATGGACGGACGGATGGCGTTAACATTCTATGAACTCTTTCTCGGTGGGGGGTTTTTTTGCTGCTAGTTTTTTAATCATTGCTTGCTGGTTGGCCTCTTTGCTTGGTTTCTCTTCTGGATTGGATGTGGTATTTTGGGGGATGTGAGGGTGGAGGAAGGGAAGTTTGGGTTTGGGTTGGGTTATTGACTCCTCTCTCTTGGCTCTTTGGGGAAGTGTGGAGGGGTGTTTTGTAATTATTGCTGGTGGTGGTTTTTGGCATTTGATTTTGAGGGGTTGTGATGAATGAGACTGAAGCGTCCTTTAGTATATTCGTTTTGTGATGTCCTTTTCTGAGCTTGATGTTTTATGATGTGAATTGAACTCGTGATCAGGATTTCTTGTGATTCGTGGGGTTGTTGTAAAAGTAAACGCTAAGGGAATGGCTTTTAGAGTACTTGCTTTCTTGCGTGGTAGTCATCTCTTTCTAGAGCTGGGGGTGGGGAAGAGGGAAGGGGTCTTGTGGTACTGGAGGTGGATTTGTAGATTGCACCCTGGATTTTTCCTCTTCCTCCTTCCTGGGTTGTTTGTGGACTTTGAGGAGAGGTATGGGAGGTGTGTGTGCAGGGTGTTATGTTTAGATAGAGGGTCGGTAAATAGGCCTCGGAAATAAGTGGTGTAGGAAATTATGGTTGTTGAGTTGAGTAGTTGCATTTACTTGACTCAACTCCTCGAATTTAATACGCTATTCTTGAGTACTATTTAAGGTAGTCAAATCTACTGCTTAGTAAGTGAAGTTGAAAATACCTGCTTATATATGACTTACCTTGACTCGTGTATTAATTAGTTTCATTAAGTAGCTGATTAGTTTGATCTGACACTAGAACTATTCACTATCTCATACAACACAAAAAACAGGGCAAAAACACAATATTTACCTCCACATTGCGCTACTCAACCAATCCCCCACCTCCCTCCACCCCAAAAAAAGTCCAAAAAAAAACCTCACTCGACGTTCTTCTTTTCGTGCCGGACAGAAACTTCTGCCCCCTCGTGGCCGCTTACGTCACTGTCATTTTCTGATGTGGCAATCTGAGGATATCAATCAGTGGCGTTCGGCGAACTCATGCAATGGACACTTGTTAACCACTGCACTACCGCTCCGAGACTCGTCTACTGAAAGATGCTGGGGTCTGCTTTATTTGTGGTTATATATTTGCAGTGGGGAGGGTGGGGCGAGATGGGTTGGATGAGTGAATGTTATTAGACTGTGCCTTTGCGTTCTAGTCAGCGGGAGACAGCCAGTTTCCCAGGAATATTTTGGGACTTGTTTGAGGGAGGTCTCGCTGGTTATGGACGTTTACTGCAGTTTATGCGAAGAAGATAATTGGCTGTATGTAGTAAGACGTGGGAGGGCTTTGGTGGAATATATCCTCTCGGTAGCCTAGCGCGGAGGAAGATAGTTTGAATACTCTAGCTAGGAAATACATGTGCAATTTGCAGCTAGATCTCGTGGAATTGCAGCTCGGAGAAGATATACAGTACTTGCAGGCGAACGAATATAATATCAACATTTTGAGAATTTTGTTACTTCGTATTCTGAAAATAGGTTTTCATTATATCAAGAGAAACAACAGAAACCCGAGTGGATTATGGGGCACTGGGTGAGAAAATATGTGCTCACGCCTCCATGTATCAATATGCGATACATCCCAATTGTCACTAGCAATTGAGTTCCAACGCCGAATCCTAATCTTTCATCATGGTCGAGTGGTAATAGAATGTTACAGTATACTCCAAATTAATTGTTGGTAGGGCAGACCAAACAGTAACAACACACCTCTTATTCGCAGAACCGGTTAAAAACGAAGTAAATATAATAATGTCCAACTGGAGTGTTGGAGTGACTCAAAAGACTAGCCTTCGGGAGTAATGACGGGGAACGAGAGAAAAGTGGGTTTTCTCATTCGGCACGTAGATTCTTTAGGGTTGTGATAGGTAAGAGAGGCGAGCATTGCTCTGTACACGCTATCAAAAGTCATTATGTTAAAACTCCGGCACAAGTAACTTAATTGTCCTATTTCACCTAGTACAATAAGAATTGAAAAGTAACAATTGTTCCAAACTACTCGTAAAACTGATTTAGTTGTGTGAGGTCTTTAGTATAATAATATTTTTATAACTGAGGCGTGTACAGAGTATTGCCCGCCTCTCTTAGATTTGATTGTAGGAATAATCTATCATTATTCTAAGACTTCTGCGTCTCCCCATGGATACAGGTATGAGACAGCCAAGAATCTGCCCTAGCCTCATAGTAAAGTCGCTGAGATAACCAGGCTCTCGGTAGACAAGATAAGTGGCAGACCTGGCGCTAGACATACCAAATCCCCACACCAAGTCCGCCACTTACCTTGTCCACCGGGAGCCAGGTAGTTTTTCCAAGCATTTAAGCCTCAGGTTGACCCAGTTATCATATCCACTTTACGTGCACGTTTTACCCCTACATTTACTCTCTTGAAGGGATAGTAATTTAAGGATGGCTTTAAAAAAGAACTCTATACGGAGGAGTGGGAGGATACAGTAATCACAAATTTTACTACTATAATACTATTATACTCTTAAAATATGCAAGTGTCTGCCTTATTTGTAGTTATAAAACCTCAAAGGGGGATTTTCTAGGAATGGTTACTAAGATGGAGCTAGACTATCTGCAAGTGCATTTTTTTAGACCTTACCTCACTTTCTCTCTTTTCTGCCAGAATAAAAAGATAGGAATTATGTGGCTTGAATTGGATTTTGAGGAGGGGCGTGTTAGGGAAGTCAGGGTCCTTGCTTAGAGGCTATTACTTTGTGGAAACGATTTAGGTTCTAACTTCTTTTCAAGTCGGTCTGAATTTAATTGCAAAGAGTACACACTTTATCTCTGTATACCGAAAATTAATTTATTTCATACTGTACGTCCTGACGTTCCTTTCACGATTTCGCAATGTTGCAAATGCAGTCAGATTCGCTTGACCCCGGTGATCTACATCAAACCCCCCGAGAACCTCACCGTCTCCCCATCTTCCCGGCAGTTATTTGAGGTGGGGGGAGTATAGAATTTTTACACTTCGGATACCGAAAGCGAAAGATGAGAATGCTATATTTATGTTTTCCACTTTACGTGAAAATGTATTCCACTTCCTGCACGTCTGGACTGTGGCCAACCTTCCTTCCAGCTGCTGCGCCTCTCGTATAGAGCCTGCGGCCTCATCCGACAGTTTTGGATTATGGGTATTCCCCATCATCCTTTGAAACTCTAGTGGGAAGGGTCAACACATACTCGTCTAGGAATATGGATAACTTAGATGAAGATCAACAAGTCTATACTATTTTTCCTCATCCCTCACCCCGCATGTTATGTTTTCATCGGCATTATCAATTCTATTAGCCTCCCGTATTCGTCCCTACGTTGGATCCAGCCGCAGGCTACGCACATTGAGATGAGTTAAGATCTACCTATTGGTCAGACTTACCAAAATGTGTGTCGTACCACCAGCGATCAACCAATCAATCTTTTTAAAAATGTTAGGTTTACGATGCAACAGGATTTTTTCCATACTCGTGCCTTAGACAATTCCGCCCGCGCTGACTGCTCAGCCACCATTATTTTTACGGGAGATCAGCCAGGACTGGTGGGCAATTCTGGGCGGGTGTCATATTTGTTTGCTTTACTGTACATGGATGCTAATTTCGTGCCCCTCGAGTGTCGGTTTTCTCACCACTTCTCACATTCTTTTTTCTGATGTCTTCTGTTTGATACATTGAAATTCATTTCCTTCACCAGTCCCTCGTTCACACTGCAACCCAAATCTCGTGATGGTTTCGATCTGGCGAATACCTTTGGTGCTAGGCTGCCTTATACAAATTGCTCACGGAATAGATCTGGACGTGGAATCTACTGGTATGTTTTGGCGTTGAAATACCCGGATGAAACTAATACACGTCCTTCTCAGATTCATTAAAGAGTGCTGCCAAAACCATAGCTCATGGCATGGTGAGCTTCTACAAAGGAAATGAAACCTGTCACACCCCAGGATTGCTTCCTTACCCACCAGATGGATATTATTGGTGGCAAGCAGGAGCCATGTTCGGGGCCTTGATTAGTTACTGGTTCAATACTGGAGATACAGCTTATAACGCCATTACATCGCAAGCCATACTTTTCCAAGTTGGTGATGATATTGATTTCATGCCTCTCAATCAAACTACCTCTCTGGGAAACGACGACCAGTCTTTTTGGGCTATGACAGCACTCTCTGCTGCGGAGTATAACTTTCCGAGCCCTGATACACCCGGAGCTCCCTCATGGCTGGGACTTGCACAAGCGGTATTTAACGAGCAGATTCAGAGGTGGGATTCTGCAAAGTGTAATGGGGGTTTACGATGGCAGGCCGTTCCGACCAACAAAGGATTCAATTACAAGAACACGATTTCGAATGGGTGTTTGTTTAACATTGCGGCAAGATTGGCAAGATACACGAATGATCAGATGTATGCTAATTGGGCAGTCAAGATATGGAATTGGATCGAGGCAGTCGGTTTCGTTGACACTAATTATCGTGTCTACGATGGCTCAGATGCGGACACGTATAATTGCACCAATATAGATCATAACCAATGGTCATATAATAACGGAATCTTGCTCAATGGAGCTGCTACTATGTTCAACTATGTAAGTATCCCCATTATCTGGGACTGAGACGACAAAAGGCTTACGAGTAAACAGACTAAAGGTGACCCAATTTGGGAGCACCGCACAGCAGGTCTTTTGTCAAGTGCCAACCAAATTTTCTTCGTCGATGGAGGTATAATGCGTGAAGGCTGCGAAAATCCACCGGCCATTCCATGTAATCAGGACCAAAAATCGTTCAAGGCATACCTCGCTCGCTGGATGACCGTCACTTCCCAGTTAGCACCATTCACACGCCCCAACATTACCGCTCTTCTCAAAACGAGTGCGAAAGCTGCGGCAGCACAATGCAACGGAGGTCCAAGCAAATCAACATGTGGAATTCAATGGGACAAGAACGGAACTTGGGATGGCACAGAAGGAGTAGGTCAAAGTATGTCAGCATTAGAAACAATCATCGGTGCTCTCGTCACCACCGATCTAAAAGTCCCTCCCCCATTTACCGGTTCAACTGGTGTAAATCCTGGTGGTACCAGTGTTTCTGTTCCCAAGGCCGGGAAAAACCGAACTGCTACTTACGTTGATACCTCGGTAATTTCAACAGCTGATAAAGGAGGAGCTTGGTTCATGACAATTCTTTTTTTGTTTGTGGGGAGTGTTAGTATTTGGTTCATGTGTTCTATGTGAGAACACGGAGTGGACTAGAGGCCTGGGGGAGGAGAGATCTTGTCTTATGGGGGAAGAGGAATTCCGAGATTATTTTCGTACTGGGCGAAAGAGGCGTCTGGGAAATTTGGGTGGGTCATTAGTGACGAAAGTTTTGGTTAAATAGGGGGGGGGGAATCTTTGGCTACTTGAAAATGTTTGGTTCAATAATGATGCTGAAGATGGCATACGACTATTGTAATCGAGAAGACCTGTTCTGGTATGTGTTTGTTGACCAGCAGCCAATCCTCATAGGACAACTAAGGGTAATTTATCATGGGCTGTGACGTTATGCGTGTTTAAGTTATTGCCGCAAGTTTCTCAAAGTGGTATAACAATTGTATCTCTTGAGGATGGAAGGGACGTTGAATCTTTGTGACTTGTGTATTTGAAGACAAATTCTCAACAATACTGAAAGGCGCTGAATATAGATTCAGTGACATGTTACTTGACGCAAAAAGCTTTGTTATGCACGATATTTAAAATATCGAGCTGTATCCTCTCCAAGTTTACCCCTATGCTCTTGTGTCCAGCCACATGAAAAGCATCATCAGGGGGAAGTTTTGGTATAAGAGAGTTACTGGTACGATGATAGAGTCCCGGAAGGGAGAAGTCCCGGAAGGGAGACATTTTGAGTTCAATTGTAAAGACCTGGCGCGTGCACGTCGTTGATGTCGCCTGTGTGTCTTTCTGTTCTAAAGGCGCATATTTAGCAGCCACCACAGATAGAGGGGATACAAAACTGTGCTATTTTCCTAAAACATTTTCTACATCTATAATAGTTGAGATGAACATACGCCAGAAGAAAGAAAAGGTGCTACCTTTCTTTTCCACCAGGAGAGAGGGCTTAGCGAGAAGCTCGGGATCTTTTAATAAGAACTTTCACGAAACAATTCTTCGTTCTAAAGAGTAATATTATAGAACAGTCCCCTTGATTATATCAACATATATTAGCCTCATCATATGAGTAGATAGCAAAAGTCGTATTCTTGGAAACCCTGTCTTTGATTCTAAACAGAGGTTCAAAAACTGCAACTTCCATGTCGCGTGACACAAAGTGTAAACAACGAATAGGCGAAACACTGGTTAAACGAGGTGAACGACAATAGTTATTATTCGTTACACTCTTCCACTCTTTGAATGGCCGCCTATATTGCAACCTGGAAATTTCGATTGAATCAAGGAAACTAGGTCGCGAATTTTCAACCCTGGAGAACCCCCTGCCGCTTACACGGTTCACAATAAAGCGGCAGTGAATGTCCCTCATTGCACTCTATCTCTATCTCTTTCTTCAACGTAAAGTTTTGAGTTTACTATTTATCACCCCAGATATTTTGGAGGAAATGAACACATGCTATCTAATACGCCTGTGTTCTTTATTGAAACCCGTTTAAAAGATGGAATAGATACTTAATCGTCTACCAAGTCAACAAAATTGGTTTCCAACTGCCGCTTTTGTTTTTCTGAGACGAGCCAACCAACACCAATCTTAATTCCCGTCGCGTCCCCCATCTTCCTGTACTGTATGACACTAATTTCGCACGAAAGAATATAATCACGCGCCCTTAACAAGACGCTGGATAATCTTCTCACATACAGTTCCAAGATACGCACGTGGCTTTAGACTCGCCCTCAAAAGCCAATTTCATTACAGATAATGGATTCGTGAGTCACATGATTGAATCTGATTTGATCAAGATGGCCAAACACTCATTATAAGTCAGATCAATTTCCCTGTAGCACCGCGAGGAGGAAGACGAAATTTCGTTTGAGCAAGATGCTTCTCCCCTCCCAGTCTCTCAAACGGGTTCAGATTCATGGCAGGAGTATACAATGGAGAATCCCAGGAACCCAAATATTCGCCTGGAAAAGCAACCCCTTTTCGATGCCATTGAAAACGCCATTGCGTTCTTATTCTCCGACTTCGACACCGTCAGTGCCCTCGGCTATAGCGCGCATACCAAAGCTAAGGATAAAAACTCCTGAATACCAACATAACGAAATGACGCTCAGAGTGGGTGATTGCGTGGAATTGACTGATAGGAGGTTTTTGATAATTGTTTATTTTGAGCCTGTGAGACAATTCGGATGTTTCGTTTATCGATATATGTTGCAGCAGACTAGTCAATTAGAAGGGACCTTGACTGTACGGAGAAACGAGCTGTTCTATGATCTGGAACTGGATACTAATACAGGTTTGCTATTTTACGCAAAGGCAAAAGTGGATTTTGTGCAGGCAGTTCGAACTCTGGTAAGTACAAATCAAACAAATCCCGCAACGAAGAACGCAGGAAAGGACGATATATATGTTGCCCGATGGGAGCGAATTATTGAAAAAGACAATCCTCAGGACATTGAGAACAATCGAAATACGTTGACAATATTCCAACCTGTGTCAAAAGACCTGTGTTCTCCAGGGGGCTGAGTCAGTAGAGTGGGGAAACGACTTGAGCCGAATATTAAGTCCCTTTTGGGGCAAGCTAGCAATCCAATGTACAAAAGAAATAGTAGGTCTTGCTATACTTGCAACTTCTGAGGGCTAACGATCTCAGAGAACACCCCGAATATCACGAACAATTGTTTGAAGGTGAAATACAGTTATGGTGATTTTTGCAAGTGTCTCCTGCCCAATATCAGCACCAGAGACCAAGCTGACTGCAGCTAGTCTGTGGAGCGGGGGGCGCCACTCTTGGGGCCCATAAAGCTGGGTTCGATATCAAATGTGGTATGGATAAGGACTCAAATGCCGCCCAAACCTGGGAGAAAAACTTCCCACAAGCAACCCATTACAGGGAAGCGGCGGAAGACTTCGTCGCCAACAAAACGCGAGATTATCACGTTGACGTCTTACATATGTCTCCGCCTTGCCAGTAAGTCTCCAGAAGTAACGTGAAACCTGCAGCAAGAAGGGATAACGAAGACATGAATACTTTACGTAATGCTGGGAACATACTTGATGTGGCAACACCAAGGATCGCAGTTATGGAACAGGTACCCGGGTTTCATGAACACAGAAACAGAAAAAACGGCATCAAGATATTTCAGGAAGTCTTGAACCACTTTACACGACGGGGGTATTCGATCACTTGGCAAGTCTTGGACGGTGCCAACTATGGTCTACCTGCATCCCGCCGGATATTTATTTTGATGGCTGCTGCGTAAGTTATAAAGAGTCATGGCAGACTTTGATTATTAACCAAGATAGACCCGGTGAAATGCTCCCCGATTTTCCCAAGCCGACGCATTCTGGCTTTTCAGGATCAAAGTATGATGGACTTCTGCCTTTTGCTACGGAAGCTGAAATTCTGGACTCAATCGCAGCAGACGCACCCAACCACGATTTGGCGCGAGCTAGGGATAATCTGACATTGGAACCAGAACCTCGGGACCCCAAGGAGCTGATGCAATGCATTATGACCGATGGTGGGAAGAGCAAATACTTTTATGATGGGTCGCGGAAAATGACGGATCGCGAATTGGCTGCCTGTCAAAGTTTTCCAAATAATTACGAGCTTTTTGGTAAAACCACCTCAGTCAGGACCCAAATTGGAAACGCAGTTGCACCAATCTTTGCGGAAGCCATATACGGTCGTGTGAGAAAAAGCTTGGAGGACTTTGATGCGTTGAATGCGAAATATAACTCCAAATCCGAAGAAGACAAGAACGATGTGGAGATGGGAAACGATAGAGTCCTGGGTTTGATGAAGAACCTGAGTCTGGCGACTTCCGAGTTGGACGATGACTCGAAGAAGATAAACGTCAAGGTCCGTATCTAATGACGATCAAGAAGGAGGATTCTATGAGCGTGAATCAATTGCGGAAAGGCTGAATTCTTTCAACATTTGAATCTTACTCTTAGGGTTGAAGTTTGGGGAAGATATGTATGTGTAGTAACTGAAAATGTCTGAAACAGGTTTCTCACCAAGTTTGTATTGCAGAGAAGGAGTTATTGGCGATTTCGTAACTGTAAGTGGATATCAAATGATAAATGTTAGACGAAATTAGCGAAATTAGCCGAAGAATAAGGTTGGCATAACAAAATTTACACTCGACTTTATTCAAAAGCTGACACGTTTTATATGATCAATCAATGATAAGAAAAGCTATAGGCGAGGCTTACTGATTGGCTGTTTCCGATTCAAAAGCTTATTAGCATTGGAGTTTCCTTTTCTTCGCTCTCATTTTCGTGAAACGAGTTCTTTTGTTTTCTTGGTAAGGTATCACGACCCCTGCTATCAAAGTACCCAATAGCAGGTGCGTAATACTCTGTACGAAGCCAAACACCAGAGCATTATTAGGGCCGTTAGACATCTATATACACTATTAAAATTACTTTCAGTTACGGCTTAGAGTCATCCAGACCTTTGAAATATTAATATAGAGGCATTTGAAACAATTGTTGAATTATGTATGAAGCCTAATGTATTTGACTACGGCTCTTTAAGCAGTTCCCCAACCATTTATTGGCCATTTGACATGCTTGAGTCAATGTCGAATCTAGATCTGACAACCTCTGTCGGCGCTGGTTTGCCACCAGCTCTTTTAATACTTTCGATAACTTCTTTATCTCGACGCTCCAAATCCTTATATTCAGACCTTGGCCAACGTCGCTCTTCCGTCATGTATTTCACCCTCCACTCTCCAGTCTTAACAGCTGCGTCAAAAGGTGTCTCGTACCAAGACTCTTGTATGTAATGATCTCCTTCTCTCTCCCTGATATATTTATAATACAAGGCATTCACCGGTGCACCATTGCGGATCAGTCCTTCAACGCAGCGCGGCATCGCTTTGGAGGCAAAACGATGCAACAATGTTTCCCCTAGATCACTGCCCCGTTCTAACACTCGCTTCTTCTTTTCGTGGTCCACGCAAGTAAAAAGGTGAGCTTCCAGTACCTTCAAAACCTCACAATCTGTGTCAAATCTCCAGGTAGGGTCTTCCCATGCAAGAAATGCGAATATATTACTTCCACCTGTTACCAAAGCTTGGCTAGACTGTCTCTCATCGATATCTGCACCCTCACTCAACAAGAAATCTAGAACATCTAGTAGACCAAATTGCGCGGCTTTCAAGATTGGTGCTGCGCCAGATAGGTTGCGATGATTAACATTTGCTCCATGGTTCACTAGGAGTCGTACACCTTCGATGCAAGGCAACTTGTCGTCGGGAAAATAGTGCAATGCTGTTTCACGCTTTTCATTCTCTGTGTGAACGCTAGCGCCGAGTTTCAGGAGCTCCTTCATCACCGGGGTGGAAGGTGTGAGAAAGGCTATCATGAGTGGAGTCCGGCTTGGAAAATCCCACCCACGTTGTGCTTTTTGGGCTCGAGAAGCCGCTGAATTTCTCAACTGCTCTATATTTGCTCCTAAAGCTTGAATTGCAGCAACGGTACGACCGAGATAATCTTTGTCTTTATCCTGATCGCCTTTGAAAGGGAGTGCTGAGAAAGTATTTCCGAATCTGGTGCGTTTCTCAAAAGTGGCACTAAGCCTGTGCAATACGGTGAACCCTTCCTCGTCACTTGCGTTTATGTCCACATCTCTCGATAATGACACAAGAAGCTCAAAAACAAAAGGGTCGTGCTGCATTGCTACGTGATCCAATGGCGACAGCCCTCGGGTGCCAATCTCCGAGAATGAGAAGGCTTCTTGGTTTGGACCGCCGAATTTATCGAGTATTCGAACTCAATCATCGTAGATGTAAGGGTCTGAGCCGTCTCTCAGAAGCACATCTGCTCCGAATTCAATAAGATTGCGTATCGTTTCTTAACTGCTCGTAACAACGGCCCAATGTAAAGAGCTTCCGGCTGGAAGAATAAAAGGATAATGAAGGAAAGGAACCTCCCGACTTTTTGCGTCAATATTACCGCCGTAATTGATTAGAGCTTCTAAAACTTCTTTCTGTGACTCCTCATCTTTATATTTATTTATTTATTTATTACTATTTAACGTCAGGCGGAATCTAACTCGCGTGGGCTAGGTCCTAAAAGTCCCATTGTTGGGCAAATGACGCTAGGGGGGTGCCCTAGGCTACAGGGGGTGTAAATGAAAGTGCGCTAATTTACAAGA